ACTGGGGTAATCGGGATGGGTGTGTTAGAGGCAATGCGACTGGCACAGGATAGAGCAGGGTTTAGGGCTGTTGCACATAGGGTTGCTATGAGTTGCAAATGACTCGACGGCAAATAACAACAACAACAACTCCAGTTGAATTAAGACTCATCTTATTCCATAAAATAATTAAAGTATTGGAAAACTTTAACACTTATCTGGAGATTATCTGACTTTCTTATGTAGGGTGTTCCACAAGAAGTAAATACTTTCTCAAATTTCTAAATTTCTTTTTTTAGTTTTAATCTGTCCAGATGAATGCAACTTCCTCCTCAGCAAAGTCTGACTAAGGATGTTCAGCTCCACTGAATGGTATAAGATTTTATATATCAAAGGTTACAAACCTCTTTATAGACTATGTTTAAGATTAATTTGGCCTCATTTTAAATTATACAACCACTTTTATAGTATGCCATCATAGTATCATCAACAACCTGCTTGTGAAAATGATATAACCTTGCTGAAAGTGAAGAAGACCTGAGACACTTATTGCAGAAGAGCAAAGACTACAACCTTCACTATGGGTTATACATTAACATCAAGAAAATAAAAATCCTCATTATTGGACCAGTAGTCAACATCATGACTGATGGAGAAAAGACTGAAACTGTTAATGACTTCAGTGTATTTATATCCACAACAAACACCCATGGTAACAATAGTCAAGAAATCAAAAGACATATTGCTTTAGACAAATACTTCTGTAAAAGTCTAAAGAGCAAGGATATAGGTTTAAAGATGAGGGTGTGTTTGATCCAAATCTTAGTCTTTTCCATTGCTTATTGTGCATCTGAAAGTTGGGAGAACAAATAAAAATGACTGAGGAAATACCGGTACTTTGGAACTGTGATGTTGGCAAAGAGTATTGAATATGCCATGGCCTGCTAAAAAAACAAATATGTCTGTCTTGAAAGAAGTTCAATTTGAGAGTTCTTTAGAGACAAAGATAGTGAAATTTGGTCTCTTTGTGCATATTCTCAGGAGGAACCAATTTTTAAAGAGAGACATCATGCTGCGAAAGGTGGAGGGTCAGAGAAAGAGAAGAATACCAAGATAGATAGAGTGATTACTGTAATGATTAGCTTGAAATATGACATAGATAATGAGGATGGTGCAGGATAGGCCAAAATTCAGATCTGTTTTTCGTAGTCATAATTCATGAGTCATACTTGACTTGATGGCACTTAACAACAATAAAAACACAGTGTACATGACACAGCAAGAATTTTCATGGATTTATTTTTATGCCCTGGATCAAGATGCTCCTTTTGGCTTTGGGTTATTATTGTTATATTTCCATTTTGAAAGACACTGCACATATATATAGCACGATGAAAGTTTCTTCTCTTTTTTAATCTGCTATGCCATTTGTGTTTATTTATTTTAGCAATTAGACTTAGAGGCTAATACTTGTCTCTGGATTCTCAATATGGTCTCTGTGCAAAATGAGCTTGCTGGTGTTAACTACATTATGCATTGAGGAAATTTTGTTGCAGTCACCATAAAGGACCCCCATGGATTTTTAGTATGTTTATATCTCATAAGTAGGTTTTTATAAGTTCTCTTTATGTTTTGCTTTGGGAATGTAGAGAACTATGCCATAAAGAAATACTTTACAGTTATTAGTAACTTTAGCAATGGGTTGTTATTGTGTGATAACTCATATTGACCCTTCAAGACAAAGTAGAACTGTCCTGTAGGGTTTCCAAGGCTGAATCTTTGCAACAGTGAATGAACAGGTCTTTTTTACCCTTAGAACCACTAGGTAGATTAAAATTGCTGTTTGATTAGCAGGCAAACACTTAACAATGAGGAAAATGAGAGCAAATGTTTTCCAAGTGCTCAAGAAATAAAAACAATAAGCAGACGATATGAAGAGATTCTTTACCACAGAAGATATACAGATGGTAAAAAAAAGAAATGTTCATGATCACTAACAATTAGAGAGACACAAATCAAAACAGAAACAGAGATATCATCTCACTCTAGCAACAATAGCAAAAGGGGGCAGCAAACAAAAATGCTGCAAGGGTGCTGTAAGATTGGAACTCCAATAAATTGCTGGTGAGAATTTAAAAATCATGCAACTACTATGTAAAGCAGTTTCACCTTTCTTTAAAAAGATGAAAATAGAAGTACCATTTAAATCAGCTATTCCAGTACTAGGCATATTCCCTAAAGAAATAAGAGCTGTACATCTACATTTAATACATCATTATTCACAATAGCAAAAACATGGAAATAGCTCAAGTGCCCATCAATGATTGAATGGAAAGAGAAATGATGATATATTCACATAACAGAGTGTTATGCATTATTTACAACAGTGAAAACATGGAAATGGCTCAAATGCCTATCAACAAATGAATGGATTGAGAAATTGTGATACATTCATAAAATGGTACAGTAGTGCACTAAAGAACAACCCACTGGAGGGTCAGCTATGAGTGGTTCTGATTCTATGGCTAAGGCATCAATTCCTCTTCTGTCATTCTTATTCATTGTCCAGCTCTCAGATGCATAACAAGTGATTGAAAAACCCTTGGACTGAATCAAATGCATCTCAGTTCTCAAACTAACATCATTGCTTCGGAGAAGTTCCTGAATACAGACTTCCCCAGTGCAATGCATCTCCTAGTCTCTTGACTGATGATACCAAATATATTGACTGTGGATCCAAGTAAGGTGAAGTTGTTGACAGTTTTAATCTTTCCTACTTAGGGTGTTGCCTATAGCCCAGTTGTGAGAATTTTTGTTTTCTTGAATTAAGATGCAATCCATATTGAAGGCCATAGTCTTTTATCTTCTACAGTAAGAGCCTGAAGCCCTCCTCACCTTCAGCAAACAAGCAAGGAAGCAGGAGGTAAAAGAGCAAGAAAGCAGCAGCAGTGGAAAAAATCCTTTTCTACCCTGCCTCTGCCAACTTCCTTCAGGTAGAACCTGTTACCCTCGGCTTAAAGAAAGCAAGCAGTGGTAACATAAAGTGGTACCTGCATCCCAGATATAGCTGAGACACATCCCTCACCTGGGAAGTTATCCTGCTATGCCAGCTGTGCACCTCAGTGAGAAGACTCCAGCATCTCCCCAGGGCCCCATTCTGACACAATACCGCTGACCTCAGATGGGTCCTGCCTCATGATTTTTCATGTGCCTGGTTTTCTGTCAGAGCAGAGATACTAAGTCACAGGAACAGTCCTGGAGCAGAAGCTTAGAGACAAAGACCTTCCTCCAGAACCGCCAAAGAGGAAAAGAGCTTTCTTCTAGAGCTGGTACCTGGGATTTAGATTTGAAGTCTCCTAAACTGTGATACTTTTCTGTCAGTTTGTTGAATTTGGGAAATGATCTGCATCTTGATAATTGCTTTATAGCTGAAGTGCCTATATTCTTGCTTGTTTATCATTGTACTAATTAGTACAACACTTGTCTGTACTGACATAACTTGTGAGTGCTGTGATGCTGAAAGCTGTGCTACTAGTGTGTCAAATGCCAGAAGGGTCACCCATGGTGGATACATTTTACTAGAGCTTTCTACCTTAGGAAGCCGAATTGGTCATCCACTTCTTAAATAGCAAGCCTCTGAAAACCCTCTAAACAATAGAGGAAGACTGATAGATCCGTGTTTTTAATAGGGTAAAATTGTCCAATTTTCCTCTCACTTCCTTGATAAATATAGTCATGTTCACAAGACCATTTTCTATTATTGATGTAGATTAAAATGCTGTTTTCTAGTTTTCCTAGTCTCTCCTCAGCTATAATTTTAACTTCTTAATTGCTAGAGGTGCAAATAAGGGGACCTGGGGATGCAATTAAAAATGGCATTAATCCAATGGTTTATAATCATGGCATCTTGCAGAGTCTCAAACCCATTATGCTGGTTTTCAAGAAGCAAGATGTAGGAGATGGTGCCTTCTGCAAGCTCAAAGCCTGGGGGACACTGTTCAGTATTCAGTTTGCAAGTTTAAAAGTTCTTTACATCTTTACAAGTCCATAAGTGAGGGTCTCAAACTCACTCAAATTCATTGCCATCGAGTTGGAACCAACTCATCTCATCTGACTTTCCAGCAGATTTTTAGGTGGCTGTGAATCACACATAAAGAAATTGCCCATCTTTCTCCCACAGAACCATTGAGTTATTCAAACCAGCCGAGAGGTGCCACTTGTAGGTGAGTAGTAAAACTCTCTACAGACTACACCACCAAAGTTCCTTAGTGAGGGTATAGATAGAGATAAACCACTTCTCAGAAAGTATTTTTTTAAAGTTCTTTCTTTAAAATGAAACTTAGAAAAAAATAATTTTTTATGAGCATATAGCAATTGTGTGACCAGGGTAGAGAGAGTGATTTGTGGTGATTTTTTTCATCAAGCAGCTTTTAGTGTTTCTGGAACATTATACTTGGAGTATTCTTTTTTAATTTTTTTTACTTGATATTCTAATGGAATTTATAGAGAATTTGGATTTCCACTCATTCATTGTTGCACTGGAATATTCTTAAATATTTGAGTTCTGGACCTCTTTTAAGATGTGTATGAAAATGTTCATCCACGTAAAAGTTTTCATTTAAACACACACACACACACACCAAAACAAAACCCAACAAACCAACAACAAAGTAGTTTACATTCAATTTCTGGAGGGCTTATTGAACAGTACTACCACTGGTGAATTGCCTGAGGGACCCACCAATCCTTGGTTAAGAACACCTGTTTTTAAGCCTAGGACATCAAGATCAGAGGACTTCTCATCTTTACATGGAGGGGAGGCATCTAGGCTTAATTGTTTCCAGCCACCAAAGCTTAAACGTGGTATTCCAAGTATCTACAATTATAGGAATTTGAAGCTGCTTAATTCCTTTCAGGCCTCCTCATTCAATCTGAACAGAAGACTCTAAGAGGAAGTTTCCTTATTTTCATTCTTTTATTCTTTGTGGCTCATAGAAGCCCATTGCATACTGATCACCAACCGCCTGTTGAGCTGCTCCATCTGCTGGATGGACCCTGATCTCCGCATCCCGTCAGGGGTGGCCGCTGCTGTGGGACGCTGCCAGGTAGTTGTGCGGTTCACATGGTCCACATAAAAGACCCGCCCATGGCTGTCAATTCGAGCTTCCCAATCTAGTTTTGAATGAAAAGGAGGAAAATAAAATCAAGCACAAATTACTGACTTAAGTGCAATAGACACCATTCCAGGTCTTCTGCAGGTAGAATTCACTTATTTCTCCTCTCCCTCAAGTCTTGGGGAAAGGCAGAGGGGCCTTGCTACATTCATAACCAAGGCTCCACAGCTGCTCTCTGATAGTTGTGCTTTGCATAGTTGCTGAATGCCTTCAGACGCCATCCAATATGCCTGTTATGACACCTATTGGCCAGAGCGAAATCAGTCACTGTGGAAATGAGCTTAATGAATGTAAATTCTCTGCAGGACCATTTTTTTTTTAACAATAATTGCGACTCTTCAAATCCAACCTATTTTAGGATGACTATAATTTCTAAAACCAAATTTTAATTTTTTTTCTTTAAAAACTTCTTAACTGTCAGTCTTGTTTGAGCAGACCTCTGTGATGATGGAGAATTTTTTCTATGCTCAATTCACTAGATAGGTCCAGAGTCTGTGGATAGTAGTACTTCTACTTAGAATTTTAAACTCTAGTTCTGAAACACTGTCTATGCAGCTCTGCTGTTAGGATTTTTACACATAGTGACCCCATATAACAAAATCCAATGCCTCCCTAGGGTTTTCTAGGCTGTAATCTAAGACTTTCCCATAAAAGATCACCAGGTCTTTATTCCTGTAGAGTCTCTGGGTAGATGTTCATCACAGACTTTTCGGTTAACAACTGAAAGCTTAACTATTGGGCCACTAAAACTATTTATTTATTTCTAATGTATATATATACTTAGCAATAAATGAAGTTTAACTCAGTCCTTGCCTTCAACTTGGAACCAACTCATAGCTGACCCATCACTGGGTTTTCAGAGGCTGTGAATTGCTTGGGGGAAGATAGTCCAAACCATCTTTTGCTCTGAGGGCAGGTGGTGGATTTGAACAGTCAGAGAGGCACTGTCTTTGGTTTAGAAGCACAACTCCCTACAAACTCTGCTGCTAGAGCTCCACTTTAGAATACTTATTATTGTTGTACAGCATGGAACTGGAACTGACCTATAGCTGGCCCTCCAGTGGGTTTTCAGAGGCAAGAAATCACACTGGTTGAGATTGCCCATCTTTCTTCTATGGAACATCTAGTGGATTTGAACCATGTACCTTTGGGTTGCCAGAATAATTTCTTACCACAAAATCACTTACTTAGTTGACCGAATTAACTTATTTCCATTTCTGTTGAGTGGGTGAATGGAAGGGATTGTTATTAGTGTATTCAAGCACCATTTATGATAAACTGAATTTACAGTGAATATTCCAAATAATCTACCCTTCTGGTACTTTGAAAATGCTCTTGACCAAAACAAAACTAAACAAATAACAATTTTTAACAAATATCAAACTTTTAATATCTCTTTCGTATCAATAATTAAGGAGTCCTTGTAACATAGTGCGCAACATAGGCTGTGCTAAATGAAAGGTTAATGGTTTGAATTCATCAGCTTCTCCGCAGGAGAAAGGCAGGCAATCACCTTTCTAAAGATTTACAGCCTTGGAAATTTTATGGAGGGTTCCTGTGAGTCTGAATTGGCTGGCTAGCAGTGGATTTTGACAATAATCCCATACAGTATAGGGAGCCCAAGATAAAGATAAGTTCCTTAAAAAAAAAAAAAGATAAGTTCCTTTACTTCCCAAATTAAACTAAATGAATAAAAGGTAGAAGCAGAGATGAAACACTATGTGACACATGGAGGATTGGGCAGCGTGGATGGAAAAGCCTTCAAAACTGAGAGTGCTGGATGTAATTTACACATTTTGTAACTTAAAATAGAAGTGTGTTTGCTGTCCAGAAACAGCAAAGCTTTCAAAGTCCAGGTCTGAAAAATGACAGCATCATGATAAAGCTATGCTGAAAAACTAATTAGACTAAAGATGGAAAAGCAAAATTGACTGAAGATGGAAGGAAACCACTCAGTCATTTAAGTGAGAAAGGCGATAGCTTTTGGGAGTATGTGAGATATTAAAAATTCTGCTGAAAAATTATCATTCAGGTAATGACATAGCAACCCTTTCTTTTTCAAACAGAACAATATAAAAGAAAACAAAAAACCTCCATGTATTTGGTACAGTGTGGTTTCATGTATATCTCCCTGTTTGTGAAATAATGGCTTATTTCTGAATTGTTAAATAATGTTCAATAAAAACTAAAAGATCAGAAAACAGAAAAATTAACTTATAAGATAATTTGAAAGAAAAATGTGATCAGGTTGCAAAAAGATAGTTTGGATAGTCTGATTAAAATTATCTTTAAGATAGTCCTGCTGTCAGCCATTATTTGTAAATGTTAGCTCATTGATGAAATGTGTGATTTATATAATATTCTTGCTTTGAAAGTGAAAACAGATCAAAATACAGTTGTCACTGGGTCTATTTTGATGCAGTAAAAGCCCATGTGTGTGAGAATACAATATTCCATATGCAGGACTATTCTGAGAATACAAAGCTGAGCTAAATCATATCCCTGCTATCTATGTGTTGACAACAAAAAGACAATTCCTTTGAAAACAAAGCTTCAACCTCATAAATTCTGAAGGGAAAAAGAAACTACAGAGGAGGGCAATAATAATAACTTATCTCCACAAGTTTCAGTATTTCCAAAAAACTTATGGAAAAGGATAATGATCAAATATATAGGTTCTTTTAACAACATAGTAAATATCTAGAGTTCATAATGGTGTTTTATATTACCATATAAATGTTCAGAAAATGATAATGTAATGTACTTTGATACTATGAACATCTTTTCTGGGTTGTGTTGTAAAAAATTTACTTTCATTTATTCTACTATAAACTCAAACAAAAAATTCTAACTGAAGCTTGAGACCTCTGTATTTCCAAATAGACTTAATAGTCTGATGTTTAAGTTTGCTGTAAATGACATTTGTTTTTTTAAAGGCTAGGTGTTAGCTCTCAAAAATATGGTGTTCCTTTGATAATAGTCTGTATATAAAGATGTTCATTTTATTTCATTGATTAAATTAGTTGATAGGGAAAAGATATGTGCTTATACAAAATATGTCAAATTACCAAGAGCAGATGAATTAAGAAATATCCATTTCTCCTTTTGAAAACTGTGAGTACTTTTGCTCTGAGAACTGCAAGCACGGAGAATAAAGGATGTAGAGGAACACTGGTTTCTTACATTCAGGAATGAGTGCAGCTGCAAAACCTATCCAATTTTAAAGTTTATTTTTGAGAAATAAGCATAAAGGAAAACAGAGATATATTAAAATTAATAAATGAATATAATGCTAAGTGAATGTCTAATGTGTGGACACTAATTTCTCCTTAATAATTCCTAATAAAAGGGAATTGAAAGAAAATTTGTAGATGACATACTCCAAATGCAGCATTTAGCAGAAGAGGAGATATAAAGCTTTACTTTACAAATGACCTCTCTGAGACTTTATTTTTCTCAAATTTAAGTTACTAGTTAGCTAATTTTTAATTACACATCACAATTACTGTGAGAAATTATACTGAATTTTATTTCTAAAGGTGACACTTTATCTGGCAGCCTCTAAGAAGAAATTGAGGAGTGTTGTATATTGAAGTTATATATGGTAAGAAAAAAATTCAAGTTTATGAGTTGATGCTGCTTTTATTATGTGGAGATTCTCAGGATACACAGATCCAATGAAGAACAATAGATTATTCTATCTTGAATTGAAAACTTCTAAATATAAGATAGTAAAAATTTGAGACTTGAAGGTTATCAATAGTTCGCAAGGGTTAGTCAAGTCTTACACAGAAAGGAAATGTTATCTTCTAAAATTGAGAGGCACTGAATGAATACACTTGGTTATTTCTTCAAGTTCATGTACTGAAACCTTCGTCACAAGACAAATGTTACAAGGTGATGTTTTATTTTTTTATGACAGTACAAGGCATAGAGTTGAAGAAGAATTTGGATGTTTATATACAAATTCATACTGACCTGTTTAAATTTGATAGGAGGAGTTAAGACACAGAATTTTTAAAATTAAGCTTACTTGGTGGAAGAGGCTCATCGATTGTTGGGTAGTGGTGATGTTCAGGCCTCAAGGAAGGAAGCTGGCTTACTGGCTGGGAATTATGGAGTATAGGATATTCACCTATGGACAAGATAGTCAAGACATTTAAATTCATTCGTTGCTCTGTCAATCTCATCAAAAGCATGACTGTAAAACTACTATAAGAAACAAACCTCAAAACGTGGATATTTGTTTATTGCAATGGTTTGTGATGTTCATAATCATTCAGGAAAGAGAGGATTTTTTTTTAATCTGAAGAAGATTGTAAATGTTCATGACTAGTTAACTGTACTACCCAGACCTATATGTAGGACCAGAATCTGATTTTTGTAACCAATTATACATCTTTAATGGAAAGATACATGAGAGAAAACCATCAGACCCTAACTTGTCCTAGCAAAAGAGTCAAGTCTATTTGAGTGAGCTATAAGGTCTTAAAATACCTTGACTGCCCTGTGCAAAATCATAGTTTTGATTTGGGTAAGTTTCATTAGAGGGCTGCCAAAAGGTTATATTCCAGATTTTTTTCTTTTCTTTTTAATTAACTTCTTGGATGGTGCCTTTCCAAGATGAAGTTAAAGAGCTGGTGTTCTGAGATTATAAAATTTCTTTTATGGGAAACTAGGGGTTAGGTAGAAAGTAAAGGTGCTATGGTATAGAGTGATGGCTCCTGATTATTTTGAGGAGGAATCAGACAAACCAAGATGTTCTTGAAAAAGGAAAGGACAAGAGACAGAGAAAGTAGTTAAGTGTGGAAAAATTGAGACAGAACACTTGGCACAGAATTGAGGCAGAAGTAGAAAGAAAGATAGAGATGGGGACATTTTAGAAATTAACATAATATTCACAGAGTTCATATTCCTTATTAGAATACTGTTGTTGCTGTTACTTGTCATTGAGTTAACTCCTACTCAAGGTTGTCTTAAGTATAACAGAAAGTTATACTGATATTAGATTACTGGTACTGTGCCATCTCAGGTAGCACTAATAATGAACTGGAACATGTTCTGAAAGGATGTTCATATTTCATGATGTCAACACTCCCTGGGGAAAGAAACATTGTGATTGGGAGCCATTTAGATGGAAGATATGACCTCAACTGTTTGGGCCTCATAATCAGACACAAACATTCTTGACTTTGGAAGGTCCAAGGGTCCCAGGGCTGAGATAGCCTCTATTCAAACTGATTTCCTCCCAGCCTCACTATTCTGTTTTTTCTGCAATAACCCTATAGTCGCTTAACAATATTAAGGATTTCTTTCTTCCCCATCACTCTACACTAATGTAAATAGCAGGTGGACAATTAATTATCTCTTGAGTAAAAAATAAGAGAAGCTATGGAAGACATGGGGATTAGATCTTTTTGAGAACTCAAATACAGAATTTTCCCCAGAAAGGTCATATGTGGAAAAGATGCAGATTTATTCTTACTTTCCAGACTAAAATTTTAGATCCATAGAATTGCTCAAAAGTAGAGAATAATTAATAAAGAAGGAAATTAGATGGTTTAATTTAGCAATTAATTCTTAGAAGTGATTGGCAAATGGAACATTGAATGTGAATGATGTGTCATTGTTTATTGTGTAAATGTCTGTGTATTGCTGGAATCCTCTGACACCATAAATAAAATTAAGAAAGTTATCTGTAACGCCAACACCTGGCTCATTATGGACAGATCTCTGTTTTACAACATGGCTCTGTGTTGAAAGGAAAATACACTCGTTTGGTTTTTTATATGTGTTTAATGTCAGAAATTGAAAAGTAAAACATAGTATCACTGTTGTTATGTCACCAGCTGTTGCATTTTTAGCTCAGTGTTTTGGTTTTTTTTTTAAGACCAAACTTACCTCATTTTAATTAATTCAATAAATCAGGTAAATTACTCCTCCAAGCTAGTGGAAAAATAATATTGTCACTTGCCAGAGATTAATGAAGCTGACCCCACCTGCTTGTGAAACCCGAGCAAATGCAATGACATGACTGACACATCTCAACTGACTGACTGAATGAATGAATGAATAGATGGAGCATATTTGAGAGCAAGCAATTATGTTCTGCACAAAGCCATCATTCTACACAGTAACCCACTGTCACGGAGACAAAGCAAGTGTTCAGATCTGTGAGAACATTTAAGAAGGAAATTTATTCCTCAGGCTAAAAATCAGGTTGGTTCTTCCATATTCTGTTCTGTTTATAAAGTATACAGTTAGACTGCAGAGGGAGAAAAGTTAGTTAGCATCTTTCTTGAAGCAAAGCAATTTTCATCAAATAATGTGACATTTCCCTCTTGAATACCATAATATGTAAAATGTAAATTCGCAGGATTATTTTTAATGATTTATATAATAATAATACTGGAAAAAATCAGCCTCAGTGTTAAGAACACATTAAAAAATGTGTACCTAGGGGACTCAGTAGATGAGAGGCAGAGGGCTTTATTCATAGCATCTCATTTCATCCTTCCAATAATCCAGGGAGGTAGGTTCTACAATTATATCATTTAATAGGGAACTGAGGCACAAGGAAATTAGGTAATTGGGCTAGAGTACTAGGGTTCGGAAATGGTTTGAACTGAGCTCAGCTCCACAACATCATATTATTATTTTCATGTGATCTGTAGAGGTTTTAAAAACTATTTTAAAGGTTATTAAAACACAGAGTTCTATAGATGGAAGAGGAGCAAACAAGAATTAGAGAAAACATTCTCCCTAAGTTGCTGAAGACATATTTCAATGTAGGCATGCATACAATGAAGGGACTTTGGTTAACCTAATATAGTTTTCGTAATGAAAGTATCTGAAACATAAGACATAATGGTAACCAGGACGTACTGATTCTTTGCCTGTCCAGCATGTGGAGACAAGCATACATCAGGCAGACCACGTAGAAATTATGATTATTTTTTTAGCATATACTATTGGCAAGTCTGGTGGCAATAAGTCTACATATAGACTCCAAGAGCTTGGCAACTCATTACCGTAGAAAGTAAGGCTAACTGTGTAGTCCTATGCTAAGATACATGGCTTTAATGACCTCAGAACTCTTCCAGGCACTTTCCTGTATTCCATTATAACCGCTAGCATAAAGCATACAGGCACTTCCGAACCTTTTATTTTTTTTTTAATTTACTGTCTGCTGAATTAAAGAATTTAATTATCCATTTTGAAACAGCACCCTGCAAGACTTCCACAAAGGGCCTAAAACTCTCCTGCCCATTGTGTTGTCACTACTATTCACTCTCACTGGACTGTCAGCAATTCAAGGACACAATGTCTTGTAAAATATGCTCATAAAGAAATTTACACAGATAATTCACCATGTATGGGTTATCTGCCAATGTGGCTCCCAAAATGCCATTCAGTTTAAAATGGGCGAGCAAGTTACCAATTGTGCCTGATTTTGTGTGACCCAAACTAAGATGGTTTTTACATTTTAAAGTGTAAAATGTAAAAAGCAAGCAAACAAACAAAATCAACCTAAAGCAAGACTCACAAGAAACAATCAGACTTTTGGTGAGAACAGACACTTGTTCTCTTGGCCTACAGTATTTGCTATCTAGCCTTTTATAGAAAAGTTTGTGAATTCTTTGTTCTAAAACATCCCTGTAAACTCCAGTACAGGCCCTTTTGTGTATTTCTCAAGTCACTTTATATTTTAATTATTTATGTCTTTGCTGTCCCTTTGCATAGGGAATTCCGTAGGTATCGAATACCATGCATACTTACCCAGTGCCCATTAGCCTGGCCCAAAGCATCTGGCCTAGAAAAAGAAATACTGAAAGCATCTCAGTATTCACTCTTATTGTGTGCCTAGTTTATCCTCTTGTGCTTCTCTTTCTCTACCAATTTTTGTGCTTTTCCTCTTAAAATGTATCACTCTCATACTTTTCTCGAACATATGGTATTTGTTATTGTCAAATATGTTTATGTTCAATTAATTTCTGTAAAAAAATTTATCGGCATCAGGCATAGGTTTGGGTGATAGGAATTCAGACAAAACACATGCTTCTGGCCTTTGATGAGCTTACAATCTCAAAATAATACCATCACATTTGATTAGATTAAAAAATATACAGCAGAACAGCAAAAGAAGAGAATACAAATTTTACTCTTTCAAAATAAATTAATGAATTAGTTAATAAAATTACAAGGCTTTTTAATTTACTTTTTTTCCCCTCTGATATTTGACTTGATAAATGACTCTAGTTTAATGTAGGATCCCTGAGTAAGGCTAAGAAGGAAAGTATTTGGTTAAAATTAAGAATATATTTTAAACTAAAGCTGGCACTTTGCTGTTAGAATCATTAAAGCAAATTACTTCACACATTTATGACATTCTTCTATTGGTAGAAAGAAAATCTCAAGCAAAAACCAACACCAATTAATTGAGAAACACAACAAAAGGGACATAGCAAATAGAATCCAATCGCCTGAAAAGTGCATTGGGCCTGAACAATTCTGTTTAAACTTACTCCCCTGAGGTTGATAACTGTTTCTTGTCTGTTTAAGTCAACTGATAGCTAGCTTATACATTCTGTATTCTGCCATAAATAGAAGGGTAACATGTTCACTAAACAGTTCTGGTGATTTAATGATGAGGAAAAGCACTGATGCAAATGCACACTTGCATACAAGCAGTTGTAATTCTTGAGTACAAGTGAAATTGTGAAGCTGTCTCTGTTCAACTATACTATGCACATGCACCCTTAGATACAAGGCAGACTCCTGTTACCCAGCAAGCCTGATTCGATTGACTCCACCCCTTGGTGCTGTTTTAATCCGAGGGATGGGACCTGTATCCCCCTAGTGGCTCTAATCAACTTTGAGGTCTAACCTTCTCTCCGAGTGCTTGGACCTGCCACTGGAGACTCCAGCCCGTCAGCGGTTCTCTCCATGGTCACGCTGGAGTTGGCCAGCTCCTCTGCCCACTGCCCAGGGCCATTGGTGGCCTCCGGGTCCAGCTCTGGGCTCTGCGCAGAGTCTGGCACAGACTCGAAGGCGCTGTTCTCCTCCTCCTCGTCATCTTGAGAGGAGAAGACAGTGCTCTCGGAGATCTTGGCGCTGTCAACTGAGGAGAAGCGTGTGTGGCTGGCGAACCTGTTGCCGCCATTGTAGCAGGAGGGGCTGTAGCAGGAAGCGCTGTAGCAGGAGCTGCTGTAGCAGGAGGTGCTGTAGCAGGAGGCGCTGCAGCATGAGGGGCTGCAGCAGGAGGCGTCGCAGCCCTCGCAGCTGTGCTCCCCGCCCTGCCTCAGGCTCGAGTCGCTCTCACTCCCGGTGCTGGGGTGTGGCTCGCCATTTTCCAGGCTTGGGAATGGTTCCCCGGAGTGATCGTGCAGCACTAGGCCTGGGGTCGCCCCCTCGGGCAATTCTCCATCAACCTCAAGAGGCAGCGGGTCCGCGGCCACCGTGTCCACCTCGCTGAACCCATCTTTCTCAGAGGAGTCCTTGAGGGTGGACTCGTCCTCGGCGCCATCCTCTTCCTCGCAGGCCTGACCACTCTGTGCCGAAGGCATGCTGTGCAGGAGAGTATGGATGCGGATGTAGTGAGTCCTCGGGGTCTCTGGTTCTCCGCAGGCTGATGTGATGATGGTCTCCAGCTCAGACACCGGTAAGGAGCAGGGCCTGCTTTTTCTCTTCACTGAGACCCTTAATGGTGGCATGTCTTCTCCCTGCTCCGAGGCAGGCATCTCCTCCTCCTCCTCCTGCTCCAACTCCTTCTCCCCCTCGTCTTTCCCTGTCGCGCCCTCAGTCTGGGCCCTCTCTGCCAGTGGCCCTTCCTCCGTGCTGGCTGGGGCTTCACTCTCCTCCTCCAGCAGCAGCATGGGTGTCACCTTTTCCTCCAGGTCTATCTCCTCTGCCAGCTGGTCCTCCTGTGTTGAGGCCAGAAACAAGCCAGACCCTTCATGTCCCTGAGAGATCATACTATCATCTCCTGCTTCGGTGCCTGCTGCTTCCTCCAAGGGCTTGGCCACCTCCATACTCTCATTCTCAGAAGTATCCCCAGCTCTGTCCTCACACAGTGACTCTGGCTTCCAGCTCTCTGATGGCCCAGATGCTTCAAGCAGAGGCTCCTGACCACTGCTTTCCCCCTGGTTGGTTACGAGGTGGTCCTGAATTTCCCCTGACTCTTGTTCATTACTTAGGGACATTTCCTCATCATCTGCTGGCAATGGGAAAAAAGAAAATATATGTCATTCCTTGCAGAAAGGGCACTGTGACATTCCATATATACAACTGGACATGGAAGCCAGAGTTAAGAGATATATTGGGACACTGGATGTAGGGGTTGATGAGGCTTGTCATTGGCCACAGCTCTGTTGACAAATTCTGTAAGAATTAGTTATCATCGTATTAGGGATAATTTGCCATCATAGATCTCAGAATTTTGTTTCAAGGTGATTTTTACATTTCATTTGAGTTTTTAAAACATCCAAAACTTAGCAGCTATGCTAATACTCGGCACATAGGTGCTTAACAAATATTTGCTACATAGACCAACTTCCAGGGATGAGACTGGGACATTTAATATTTCCTTAATGATCGCTTGCAAGACTTGTTATGCTTTAAGTCATAGTATTTCTTATGGCTGAGGCCTGCACAGAAGGGTCAATCGGGTTTTTAGGCAGCTAGAAGGAAGAAAGTGCTGGGAAATGGTTGATGGCAACCCCTATTATTCAATAACACAGGCTATAAGCTTTCCAACATTTGGAGCTGTCAGAGAAAAATAAACAAGAGCTCCACTGACCACTTCCATCTCCTCCCAGTCACTCTACTAAATCCTTGCCAGATTTAAATTTCTTTAACATCAAAGGCAGTAATGCAGTTCACTCAAACTCATTACCATAGAGTTGGAACTGACTCAAAGTTGACCCTCTAGTTGGTTATTCCAAGGCTGGAAATTACACAAGTGGAGATTGCCCAATTTTTCCTTATTAAGTTATTGGTGGATCTTAACCACCACAGCAATGCAGCCTTTGGGTTAGTAGTGCAACTCCCTATGATTAAACATCTACTAAACACCTCCTATGTGCCAGGTACTATAATGGATGTTGAGAATAGAAAAATAAGCAGGGTTCCAAATGCATAGTGACTTCCTTGTCAACCCATTCCACTGTCAAACCCTCTACCTTTGGGTCATCAGAATGAAGAGGAGCCTCTCAATCAAGGGGACAGCAACCTGGCTTCCAGAACAGATCACTGACTTCTGGGTTTCAAATGGAGAAAGGAGGGAACCACAAAACCTAGGATATTTCTGGAGAGATCCATGGTTATTGCATTTTAGAGACCAGAACCATACTATGCCCCTAGTTCATGCTGAAAATACCTGGATGGATGGCAGAAGTGATCTCAAATCGGAACTGCAGCTGTCCACTCACATGATCTGTTGGAAGCCTGCGGCCAAGTGTGTAGCTGACTATCCTGTCCCTAGGAGGAAATAAGTACCATCACAGATCTGGCCAATACATTGTCTCTGAAATTTCATGCAACATGCATTATATCCCAGTAGTAAGACAGGCCATACCAACGAAAGACCTGTTCACAGGAAGGATGAACTAACTGCTCAGGCACATATGAGATGACTCTTAAGATAAACATGGAACATACATCTGCTGAACAGAAATGAAAACTCTCAAGAAAACTCTTAACCTAATATTCTAAATCAGAAGCCAGCAAATGATGGCCAGTGGGCCAAATATAGCCCATGATTGTTACAGCCACGAGGTTTTTACATATTTAAATTATTGAAGAGAAGAAATTTTTTTTAAAAAAAGGCAACAGACGGATAACGTTTTGTAACATGAAAATTACGTGAAATTTAAATTTTATTGTCTATATATAATGTTCTATTGGGACATAGCTATACTGACTAGTTTATATATTAACTGGTTGGCTTTCATGCTTTGCTGGTAGAAGTAATTAATGACAGAGACCATATGACGTGAAAAAATTTAAAATACTTATCTAGTTCTTTATAAAAAAAGATTGTTGACATATGTTCTAAAACCAAAAAGATATGCTTTTCCTGTGTAGGCTGCGATTTTCTTAAACTGTCCCTTAATAATAACAATAACATGAACAACATATGTGTGTTTTGTTATACAGTAACCAAATAGGTGGATATTGAAGTGACTGTGCAGTGCCAGAGAGGATAGAGATGAGCAAGCCTCCTGATTTTGGTCTACTGTCTTGTAAGTGTCAATTCACATGAACTCATGAGTTGGAAATGCCATCTCGGTTTTGGCATCAGGCTCTTCCCAGTCAAAGCATAAAGAAATTATTAACAAGAAAATCAAGCAGGAAAATCAACTTGAATCTGCACTGTTATGTTTTCATCAACATTTAACTTCAGCAGAGTAAATTGCTCCCTATTTTGGCCTCAAGTGTAATGACTGACTACTTTAAGGTATTCAAGAATTAATAAACCCTGTGTATCCAATAATTCTAAAGACATAATTACAAAAATAATTGGTACTCGGTTCTGCATACATTCCATTGACTCACTTGTGATATTCCAATAAAAAGATAAATCGCTGTCTAGGCATGTTTTAATCTTTTATTCTTGAAAACACTGACATCAATAAACAAACAAGGCATATTCCCTGAGCCACAGAATAAATATTTCAACAATAGGTTAGTGTTTAGAGTTGCTTGTATGTTTGTTTCTTGTGGACCTGTTTTCATTTTCTTCGGCTTCAGTCTAAACTTGCTCATGAGTAGCTGACTTGCAAGTCAGCAGCTGGCCTACTTTTGACTGCTGCTACTGAGTTTCTCCTGAGATTCTCTCTGCATATATAGTCAGTCTGATTCATGTATAGACCATCAATGTGACCATGTGTAAAGTCACCTTTTGTGTATTTTAACAAAGGTTTTTGCTATGAATATATCATTTTCAAAAAGTATAGACAAAGGAGAATAAGTTCAATATCTTGTTTATTTAGAAAGGGCTTTATTATGGAGTAAGTCTACTATGACTATAAAAAAAGACATGCTAAACACAAAATCTAATTGAAATTGTGGTTATGTGCCATTAACTCAAATATGACTCATGGAGACCCTATAAACAACATATCTGAACACTGTCCTATCCTGCCCCATTCTTATCATCCACAACACACGTGGTCCCATTATTGCAGACACTGAATCAATCTATCTTGTTGAGGGTCTTTTTCTCATTTGTTGACCATCTGCCTTTTAAAGCATGATGTCCCTTTCCAAGGAACAGCCTCTCCTAACAATATGTCCAGAGCTTGTGAGACAAAGTTTTGCCTTGTTTCTCTTTGGAAGCAGGTTATTCTTGCTTCCAAGGAGAACTCTGTTTGCACTTTCTCCAAGACATGTCTGTTGCTTCTTTTGACAGTCCATGGGATATTCCATGCTTTTTTCTAAAACCACAATTCTCATTCATCAATTCTTCTCTTGTCATCTTTATAAACTTTTTAATTCTCATATTTATAGTAGGTGATTGGAAAGACTGTATTTTGAATCAGGCACACCTTTAAACAGTCTTTAAACTGACATTTTTCCTCTTCAGGATTTTTTTAAAGATCTCTGACATCCTACTTCCTCAATGCTCTATGAATTCAGACCTCCTGACTACTAGTACCAAGAGTGTTGATTGCTGATCCAAGCAAGATGAAATTATTGACAATTTCAATATTTTCTGTTGCCTATTGGTCCTGGTTTTTTGTTTTTTGTTTTTTTGGTGTTGAGATGTAATCTATATCAAAGCCTGCAGTCCTTGATCCTCTTCAACAGGCGTTTTAAGTCCTCCTCATTTTAAGAAGGCAAGGTTATGCCATATGCATATTGCAAGATGTGATAAGTCTTCTCCCAATACTGATGCCACATCCTTCATCATAATGTCTGGTTTCTCAAATTCTTTTTCAGCCTATAGATTGGATAGGTATGGAGAAAGGATAGAGCCCTGACCCAGGTTTCTTGAATTTTAAAGCATGAGGGTTCCCTTGCTCTGTTCACACAGTAGCTTCTTGGTCTAGGTTTAGATTTCATACAGGCATAATGAATTGCCACTTGTCTCAATGTTTGTCATAGTTTGTTATGATCCACGCAGTCAGACACCTTTCCATAGTCATTCTTCTGGTATTCTCTGCTTTCAGCCAAGATATATCTGGTATCAACAATCATATTCCTGGTGTCATGGCTTCTTCTAAACCCAGCCTGAGCTTTTAGAAGTTCTCTGTCAATGTACTGGTCTAGTAGTTTTTGGCTGATCTTCTGCAATATTTTGTTTGTTATTGTTGTTGTTGTTATATGCCATCAGGTCACTTGCAACTCATAACTACTCTATGTACAATAGCCTGAAACCTACTCTATCCTGTGCCAACTTGATTGTTTCTGACACAACTACCTTCATTACCCCCGTCACTGTATCAACCCATCTCATCTATGGTCTCCCTCTCTTTCTCTGTCCCTCCACACTTTCAAGCATGATGACCCTCTCCAAGGACCGGCCCATCTTTGCAACATGCCCAAAGTATGTCAGATGAAGCTTCAGAATCCTTGCCTACAAGGAGTAGGCTGGCATCACCCTCTCTAAGATGAGCCTCTTTGTTCTCCTGGCAGTCCATGGTATGTTTAAAACTCTCCTCCAGCACCACAACTCAAAAGGCATCAATTCTCCTCCTATCATCCATAGTCGTTGTCCAGCTCTCTGATGCAAAGCAAGCAATTGCAAATACTGTGACCTGGATCAGGCATACTTTAGTATCCCGACTGACATCATTGCTCTTCAGTACTCTGGAGAAGTCCCTGACAACCAAATTTCCCAATGCAATTTGTCTCCTGATTTCCTGGCTGCTGGTACCAAGAATGTTGATTGTGGAACCAAGCAAACTAAAGCTGTTAACAATAGCAATCTCTTCATCCTCCTTCAATTGGCCCAGTGGTGAGAATCTTTGTTTTCTTGATATTGAACTTCAATCTATATTGAAAGCTGCAGTCCTTGATCTTTTGTAAAAAGCACTTCAGGTCCTCCTCAGTTTCAGCAAGCAGGGTTGTATGAACACAGGTTGTTGAATCTTTCTCCAGTCCTGATGCTACAATCCTCCTAATACGGCCTAGCCTCCTGGATGATCTGTTCTGCATGTAGATTGAAATATGGAAACAGAATACATCCCTGGTGTACAACCTTCCCAATCTTGAACTCTGCAGTGTCTCCTTGCTCTGTTCTGTACTTGTCCAAGTACAGGTTTCCCATAAGCACAGTCAAATGTTCTGGGATTCCCACTCTTTTCGGAGTCAGCCACAGTTTATTGTAATCCACACAGTCAAAAGCCTTTGCACAGTCAATGAAACACAGACATTCCTCTGGTACTCTGCTTTCAGACAAGATCCATCTAACATTAGCTATGATATCTCTCGTACCATGACCTTTTCTAAAACCATCCTGCACATCTGGCATTTCTCTGTTAATGTGCTGCTCCAGTCATTTTTGCTTGGTTTTCAGCAGAATCTTGCTTGCATGTGATATTAATGATATTGTTCAATAGTTTCTGCACTCTGTCAGGTCACCTTTCTTTGGAATGGGAACACATATAGATAAATCTCTTCCACTCAGTTGACCACATAGTTGTCCTCCAGATTTCATGGGACAACTTAATGAGCACATCCAAGGCAGTGTCTGTTTGTTTAAATATGTCAATTTGTGTGCCATCAATTCCAGGAGCCTTGTTCTTTGCCAATTCTTTTAGAGCAGCTTGGACTTCTTCCTTCATTACCACAGGCTCTTGCTCATATACTATTTCATTAAATTCTTCTATTTCAGCCAATTCCTTCTGGTACAGTGATTCTGTATACTCCTTCTATCTTCTTTTAATGCTTCTTGGATCATTTAATATTCTGTCCAAAGCATCCTTAAGTATTACAACTCATGGCTTTAATTTGTTTTTTAATTCCTTCTGACTAAGAAATGCTGAGTGAGTTTGGCCCTTTTGATTTTCTGACTCCAGCTCTTTGCACATTTCATTGTAATTCTTTGCTTTGTCTTTCCGAGCTGCCCTTGGAAATCTTCTATTCAGTTCCTTAATTTCTTGATTTCTTCCCTTTGCTTTGGCTTCTCGGCACACTAGTGTAATATTTAGCTTACATATGATATTAATGATATTGCTCGACAATTTCCACATTCTGTTGGACCACCTTTCTTGGGAATGGGTACAAATATGGATCTCTTCCAGTCAGTTAACTAGGTAACTGTCTTCCGGATTTCCTGGCACAGAGTGATAAGCATGTTTAGGACTATATCTGTTACTTTATCATTTGTGTATGTATATGCTTGTTTGTTCATAGTTTGCTTGTATTAGTCTCTTATTGTCTGTCAATTTATTGTACTGAGATAGTTAGTTACCTGGATGCTATGCTACCAGTCTTTTAATATCAGCAGGTCACTCATGGTTTACAGGCTTCAG